AATACGAAGTGAAAATGACCGGGTGGACAAAAATTGTGGCTGAAAAAGATACAATGGGAATGTGAAAGATGGAGAGAGAAAGATGTGTGAGTTTTTTGAGTGTGTTAGCTAGCTAGGGAGGCACCTAGCTTTGTTTACCTTTCTTCCTAGATCCATATTCCACAACCTAACAACATCTCTTTCTTCAATATTTCCTTTCGTTTAATATAAACAACCATGCAAAACTTGTCAGAATATTCAGCCTTTTTTTATAGTCAATAGTTGCAATGATAGTGAAACGAAGGATGATGAAAAGAACTTTGAATTAAATACCCAGTTTATAAAAAACAAACCTTTTAGCCATGCTTCTTACAATTTAATCAATGGATCAATCATGTCGCTGTAAAACGTAGAAAGCCAAGAACTACAAGAGTCTATCAGCCATGATGTTAGTTAAATAAAAGAATTTCAGATTCTCTCTCTCTATTCTCTCTCTCACACACAAACTCTATCTATCTGTGTATGCAAATGATACTCTCTTTCTGTGGTTGCTTTTTTTGCCCCCTTTTTTCTGCTTACTTTGCAAGAGAAGGGAAAGGCAAGCAAGAAGGATGTGCTTGAACAAAAGCTTTTAACCAAAAAAATCTCAACTTTTTTTTCAAATATTGAAGTGATTTTTCTGGGGTTGTAAGAGAGAGAGAAAAAACAGAAGAAAAGACAGAAAGCTCAACGTCAGAGTTAGCCGTAAGGTTCTTGGGTTTGTGGTTTTGGACTGGTTGAGAGTACATATACTCAGAATCTCTTCTCATCCACACTTATCTCTCTCTCTCTCTCTCTCTCTCTCTCTCTCTCTCTCTATCTCTGAGATAACAAGATTATACTCTTAAACAACAGGGTTTATAGTTTTGTTCACATTTGTGTGTGGATTATATATATATTTTCCTTGGTAATGTTATCATAATACGAAGCATGGTTTTCAAAACCATGAAGGAGAAAAATACGGATTGCGGCTACACCACCATCTGCTTCACCTCACAACTTGTTTCTTCTGCTCTTTCATAAAAACAAAACTTTGTCTCTTGGCTCAGTGCCAAACTAGTAACAAGTTTTCTAACAGTGCTTATATAGAGAGACCACTGTCTCTCAACTTTCTTCCTCTTTTTGTTTAGTTCTTTGCTAGAGACTCATATACTAGTTCTTTGCTTTTTCATATTTCTTGTGTTTTCTTCCTTCTCTTTCCTTTCCAGTCTAAGCTGTGTGGACTGTGGTCTAGCTTTTTCTTTTTTCTTCCTTTTCTATTTCGGGTAAGATTTGTCCTTAGATCCCAGAAAGCTTCGCAGCATTTGAAAAATCAAGATCTATGGCCTATAGCTCAGCCTTATAGGTTGCTAAAACTTGCAAGTATATATGGAGATGAAGGGTTTTGTGTTCAACCAACATCAGCAGCAGCCAGTAGTGGAGGAGAACATGTCAAATTTGACTTCTGCATCTGGTGAAGCCAGTGCTTCCTCAGGCAACAGAACTGAAATTGGAACCAGTTACCCTCAACAATACTTGGCTCCACCACCATCTCAGACTCAGCCACCAAAGAAAAAGAGAAACCTCCCTGGTAACCCAGGTTTGTTTCCTTTCTTTCCCTATTCAAAGTCTAAACTGAACCTCATCGATTCTTATGGCTTTGGTTGATTCATACATATATATGTATGTCATGTTTTTGTGTTGTTTAGTTTAATTATATGAATTTTAATGCGTCTATTTTCAGACCCTGATGCTGAAGTTATAGCCTTGTCCCCCAAGAGTCTTCTGGCCACAAATAGGTTCATTTGTGAGATCTGCAACAAAGGATTTCAAAGAGACCAGAACCTGCAACTTCACAGAAGAGGGCACAATTTGCCGTGGAAGCTGAAGCAGAGAACAAGCAAAGAGGTGAGGAAGAAGGTGTATGTGTGTCCAGAGGCAAATTGTGTGCATCATGACCCGTCAAGGGCTCTTGGGGACCTGACTGGGATCAAGAAGCACTTCTGCAGAAAGCACGGTGAGAAGAAGTGGAAATGTGACAAGTGCTCCAAGAAATATGCAGTTCAATCAGATTGGAAAGCCCATTCCAAGACCTGTGGCACAAGGGAGTACAGATGTGACTGTGGAACCCTCTTCTCAAGGTAACTAACCTACATCCATGTCATGTGAATTATAAGTCCAGTTTAGTTAAGGCACCACACTCAAGAAACATCTTTCATTTAAAGAGGATGGGATTTTTCAATCCTAGGTTGACTGTGATGAATTCACACACCAATTTTTAATTGCTATTCCAATTCCATTAATAATATATACACTTTCACACATTCCTTATCCTTTCTTGCAAGATGATGTGCATTAAATTCATTACATTGATATGGCAGTCTCTCATAAATCATAATCCCTCCAAGAGAGAGTGTAAATTCCTAGTTTGGAATTTTTTTTAATGTGGTTAAGTACACTTTCACAAGAGTTTTAAAAAGTGTTGAAAAGTAAGAGAGAGAGAGAGAGTGAGAAAGTCAATAATTCTACACTGTCATAACAGTTTAGTGTAATTTTGTTTGGTTATGACTTCCAGGAGGGACAGTTTCATAACCCACAGAGCTTTCTGTGATGCATTAGCAGAAGAGAGTGCAAGAGCAATCACTGGCACAGGCAACAACCAACTTCTTCCCCCACAACAGCCTTCTTCCTCTCATCAGCACCACCACCACAACATGACCCTTCAAACCCAATTCAACCCTCAAAATCTCCATGCTTTCTCATTGAAAAAAGAGCAGCAAAGTTTCAATCTTAGGCCAGAAATGCCCCCTTGGCTGGGCCCACCAACAACAGTTGATAATCTCTCCTCGTCCCCATCCATAATGTTCTCTCCCTCTCCACACCAAGAAAACCCTAACCCTAGTCTTGGTCCCACTCTTGCTGCCTACCAAACAGTCCCTAACCCTTCCCCACACATGTCAGCCACAGCATTGCTGCAGAAAGCAGCTCAGATGGGTGCAACCATGAGCAGAAGTGGTTCCTCACCAGCCATGGCAAGGGCCCACCATCAGGTTCACATGACTTCTTCAGCAGATTCTGCCACTGCTCACTTTGGCTTGAACTTGTCCTCACGTGATCAAGACAACACCACCACCACTTCAACAGCACCAACCACTGTTACGACTAACACTCCTACAGTGTTTAGCCATGGCTTGTTATCATCATCATCATCATCACCTTTGGGGAATAAAGCTGCTGCTGTGTCTTCTGCTCCATCCCTTCTCCATGATGTTATACGCTCTTTCTCTTCTCCCTCTGCCTTCCAAGGAACCCCTTTTGAGGATGCATTTGGTGGCATTCAGAGTTCAAAAAAACTAGATGACGATAGCTTGTATCTGCATGATACCTTCTCAAAAGCAAGTGGTGCAGCAGGAAATGAAGGGTTGACCAGAGATTTCTTGGGTCTCAGGCCACTCTCTCATAATGATATTCTCACCATTGCTGGCATTGGAAACTGCATTCATGATCAGCAAAACCAATCTCAAAAGCCATGGCAAGGTTAGCTAGCTACATGTGGATTTTCTTCCTCCTTTCATCATCTATATAAATAATTTTCTCCTTTTTAATCACTTTCACTTTTGTTTAAGATATTTTCGATCTTCCCAAAGGGAATGAACTTGTTTTCATTTCTTATCTATTGTTTTCTATTCGCAATATTGCGTTCATTATTTGCATAGCTGAATTTTATAGTGTGTGTGTGTGTTGAATTTATTTTTGAGATAGTTCATTAGAAAAAAATTATATATGTATAACTTTAGTTTAATTCAAATAAAAGTATTGATTTATGAGTCTTTTATTTTGTTTGGTGTTTAATTTTGACATTTTGCGTAACTTAGATTTATATTTAGATTATTCCTAACATAACTTAATGTTTAGACTAAAAATTCACTTTTTTTAAAAAAATATTAAAATAATATGAAGTCTACCCTAATAAAATTTATAGCTTAATAAAATTAAACTATATTTATTATTTATTTCTTAATATAACATCAAAATAATATAAAATTCATCTAAGACTTACATTTTTATAAAATTGAAGTAGAGTTAAAATTGATTTTTTCAAAAAATATCAAAACACCACAAAACTTATCTTAATCAGATTTATAGGTTAGAGTCTATTCTAGTGATGTTTGTTGTTGGACATGTTGTTCCACTCATTATTGAGCCGTTATTACACCACCCATTAATGTATAGTCTCACGTTCGAGATATATATGTCTCGGTGTGAGAGGTGTGTTGGAAGTCTCACATATACTAGAAATAAGATCAATTTATAATATATAAGTGGATACAAACCTTATCTTACAAGCCCGATATTGTGAGACTGAGTTAGACTTAAAATTGTATTTTAACTTTAGGAGATGGTTTGATAAATTTAAGTTAATAACTTTATGCAACTTAAAAAAAAGAAAGTTAACTTTAGAGTTGTGAAAGAGGGGAATGTTAATCCTCACGGGAGGCTCCAAGTTGATGGTGTTGATGAAATTGATTATCCCACATCATAATTTGAGGCATCATTAAATTTTCCATACTGATAATGACTAATACGAAGTGAAAATGACCGGGTGGACAAAAATTGTGGCTGAAAAAGATACAATGGGAATGTGAAAGATGGAGAGAGAAAGATGTGTGAGTTTTTTGAGTGTGTTAGCTAGCTAGGGAGGCACCTAGCTTTGTTTACCTTTCTTCCTAGATCCATATTCCACAACCTAACAACATCTCTTTCTTCAATATTTCCTTTCGTTTAATATAAACAACCATGCAAAACTTGTCAGAATATTCAGCCTTTTTTTATAGTCAATAGTTGCAATGATAGTGAAACGAAGGATGATGAAAAGAACTTTGAATTAAATACCCAGTTTATAAAAAACAAACCTTTTAGCCATGCTTCTTACAATTTAATCAATGGATCAATCATGTCGCTGTAAAACGTAGAAAGCCAAGAACTACAAGAGTCTATCAGCCATGATGTTAGTTAAATAAAAGAATTTCAGATTCTCTCTCTCTATTCTCTCTCTCACACACAAACTCTATCTATCTGTGTATGCAAATGATACTCTCTTTCTGTGGTTGCTTTTTTTGCCCCCTTTTTTCTGCTTACTTTGCAAGAGAAGGGAAAGGCAAGCAAGAAGGATGTGCTTGAACAAAAGCTTTTAACCAAAAAAATCTCAACTTTTTTTTCAAATATTGAAGTGATTTTTCTGGGGTTGTAAGAGAGAGAGAAAAAACAGAAGAAAAGACAGAAAGCTCAACGTCAGAGTTAGCCGTAAGGTTCTTGGGTTTGTGGTTTTGGACTGGTTGAGAGTACATATACTCAGAATCTCTTCTCATCCACACTTATCTCTCTCTCTCTCTCTCTCTCTCTCTCTCTCTCTCTCTATCTCTGAGATAACAAGATTATACTCTTAAACAACAGGGTTTATAGTTTTGTTCACATTTGTGTGTGGATTATATATATATTTTCCTTGGTAATGTTATCATAATACGAAGCATGGTTTTCAAAACCATGAAGGAGAAAAATACGGATTGCGGCTACACCACCATCTGCTTCACCTCACAACTTGTTTCTTCTGCTCTTTCATAAAAACAAAACTTTGTCTCTTGGCTCAGTGCCAAACTAGTAACAAGTTTTCTAACAGTGCTTATATAGAGAGACCACTGTCTCTCAACTTTCTTCCTCTTTTTGTTTAGTTCTTTGCTAGAGACTCATATACTAGTTCTTTGCTTTTTCATATTTCTTGTGTTTTCTTCCTTCTCTTTCCTTTCCAGTCTAAGCTGTGTGGACTGTGGTCTAGCTTTTTCTTTTTTCTTCCTTTTCTATTTCGGGTAAGATTTGTCCTTAGATCCCAGAAAGCTTCGCAGCATTTGAAAAATCAAGATCTATGGCCTATAGCTCAGCCTTATAGGTTGCTAAAACTTGCAAGTATATATGGAGATGAAGGGTTTTGTGTTCAACCAACATCAGCAGCAGCCAGTAGTGGAGGAGAACATGTCAAATTTGACTTCTGCATCTGGTGAAGCCAGTGCTTCCTCAGGCAACAGAACTGAAATTGGAACCAGTTACCCTCAACAATACTTGGCTCCACCACCATCTCAGACTCAGCCACCAAAGAAAAAGAGAAACCTCCCTGGTAACCCAGGTTTGTTTCCTTTCTTTCCCTATTCAAAGTCTAAACTGAACCTCATCGATTCTTATGGCTTTGGTTGATTCATACATATATATGTATGTCATGTTTTTGTGTTGTTTAGTTTAATTATATGAATTTTAATGTGTCTATTCAGACCCTGATGCTGAAGTTATAGCCTTGTCCCCCAAGAGTCTTCTGGCCACAAATAGGTTCATTTGTGAGATCTGCAACAAAGGATTTCAAAGAGACCAGAACCTGCAACTTCACAGAAGAGGGCACAATTTGCCGTGGAAGCTGAAGCAGAGAACAAGCAAAGAGGTGAGGAAGAAGGTGTATGTGTGTCCAGAGGCAAATTGTGTGCATCATGACCCGTCAAGGGCTCTTGGGGACCTGACTGGGATCAAGAAGCACTTCTGCAGAAAGCACGGTGAGAAGAAGTGGAAATGTGACAAGTGCTCCAAGAAATATGCAGTTCAATCAGATTGGAAAGCCCATTCCAAGACCTGTGGCACAAGGGAGTACAGATGTGACTGTGGAACCCTCTTCTCAAGGTAACTAACCTACATCCATGTCATGTGAATTATAAGTCCAGTTTAGTTAAGGCACCACACTCAAGAAACATCTTTCATTTAAAGAGGATGGGATTTTTCAATCCTAGGTTGACTGTGATGAATTCACACACCAATTTTTAATTGCTATTCCAATTCCATTAATAATATATACACTTTCACACATTCCTTATCCTTTCTTGCAAGATGATGTGCATTAAATTCATTACATTGATATGGCAGTCTCTCATAAATCATAATCCCTCCAAGAGAGAGTGTAAATTCCTAGTTTGGAATTTTTTTTAATGTGGTTAAGTACACTTTCACAAGAGTTTTAAAAAGTGTTGAAAAGTAAGAGAGAGAGAGAGAGTGAGAAAGTCAATAATTCTACACTGTCATAACAGTTTAGTGTAATTTTGTTTGGTTATGACTTCCAGGAGGGACAGTTTCATAACCCACAGAGCTTTCTGTGATGCATTAGCAGAAGAGAGTGCAAGAGCAATCACTGGCACAGGCAACAACCAACTTCTTCCCCCACAACAGCCTTCTTCCTCTCATCAGCACCACCACCACAACATGACCCTTCAAACCCAATTCAACCCTCAAAATCTCCATGCTTTCTCATTGAAAAAAGAGCAGCAAAGTTTCAATCTTAGGCCAGAAATGCCCCCTTGGCTGGGCCCACCAACAACAGTTGATAATCTCTCCTCGTCCCCATCCATAATGTTCTCTCCCTCTCCACACCAAGAAAACCCTAACCCTAGTCTTGGTCCCACTCTTGCTGCCTACCAAACAGTCCCTAACCCTTCCCCACACATGTCAGCCACAGCATTGCTGCAGAAAGCAGCTCAGATGGGTGCAACCATGAGCAGAAGTGGTTCCTCACCAGCCATGGCAAGGGCCCACCATCAGGTTCACATGACTTCTTCAGCAGATTCTGCCACTGCTCACTTTGGCTTGAACTTGTCCTCACGTGATCAAGACAACACCACCACCACTTCAACAGCACCAACCACTGTTACGACTAACACTCCTACAGTGTTTAGCCATGGCTTGTTATCATCATCATCATCATCACCTTTGGGGAATAAAGCTGCTGCTGTGTCTTCTGCTCCATCCCTTCTCCATGATGTTATACGCTCTTTCTCTTCTCCCTCTGCCTTCCAAGGAACCCCTTTTGAGGATGCATTTGGTGGCATTCAGAGTTCAAAAAAACTAGATGACGATAGCTTGTATCTGCATGATACCTTCTCAAAAGCAAGTGGTGCAGCAGGAAATGAAGGGTTGACCAGAGATTTCTTGGGTCTCAGGCCACTCTCTCATAATGATATTCTCACCATTGCTGGCATTGGAAACTGCATTCATGATCAGCAAAACCAATCTCAAAAGCCATGGCAAGGTTAGCTAGCTACATGTGGATTTTCTTCCTCCTTTCAACATCTATATAAATAATTTTCTCCTTTTTAATCACTTTCACTTTTGTTTAAGATATTTTCGATCTTCCCAAAGGGAATGAACTTGTTTTCATTTCTTATCTATTGTTTTCTATTCGCAATATTGCGTTCATTATTTGCATAGCTGAATTTTATAGTGTGTGTGTGTGTGTATATATATATATATATATATATATATATATATATATATATATATAAAAGAAGACTAGATAGTAAACGGATATGATAATTCTAATTTGATTTTTTTTAAAATAACTAGATCTCCGATTTTTAAAAAATAGGTTTCTGAAATTAGTTTATCGCAACATAAAACTTCCAACATTATTAATTAAGAACATTTTAAAAATGAAATTTGCATGTTTATAGGATTAATATTCTTATATTTTTAATTAAAATGTGTAATTAATAATTTTCTATATATTTTCATTATTTTAAATCTTCTAACTCTAGGACGCAGAAAATACAGTTATTTATATACTATGGTATTAATAGTTTAATTTCACTAAAATACATTGACAATGTAACCTTTTACATTGTTGTTTAATCAATGTAAGGTTTGAATGGTTTTTAATTATTATAGCATTTAATTGTTTACGATGATAGGGTATTAAAATTAAACTGTTCTTCATGTATTCTTGTTTATGAATATTTGTAGTTCGTAATTGTATAAATATATTTGAAAAAGAATTAAGGAGTAAAGTTGAAGAGGCTATATATTCTTCAAAGACTTAAAACTAATGTTTTCAAATTTGGAAAAATACTTCATATATATGTGAAACTAATAGAACAATATACAAAACTATAAAAGGTGTAAATTATGAAAATATAAAACTTATAAATTAATACGAAGGACTAAATTATTTGTTCTATAAAGGCAAGAAAACACATAATAATTGTTAAAACAAATTATTTATAGCTATTTGAATTCTTGACTTCGTGTTTTTATTTAAAACATTATAGCCTAACCATTTTCTTAATCCAATAAATAATGTAACAAAAGGATATAAAACTTTAGCATGTTTTAACTTATTGTCAATATCAATAAATAAATCAGATGTTTGATCAAGCACATGTATTATGAATTTTGCACTCTAATGATTACAAAGATGAGGTACTATATAATATGTTAATTTGTAAAATGTAACTTTGTCAATTTAAGAAATTAAAATAATCATTTGATCTGAGTATAAGTTTATCCAGAAATATATGTGTCTAAACAATATTAGATCAAAATATAAATTTAATTTAGTCACGAACGTGTCATATTTTTGCAATTTAAGATTTACGTAATATTATAAATGGATTTATAACTTATTAGACCACATATTGCTCAAAGTTTTATGTAGAGTAGACATGATAGTGTCGTTTCTTCAGAAGTTTATGATATAATCTTATTAATTAATCAGAAGTTTATAAACAATATCACGATTTGTTATATATTTTGGTAATTATGAGAGGGAATGAGTTTCACGTTAGTATATTCTTATTCTAGAAGTGGAAATTTTCAAGATACTATTTGCTGATTCTTGGAGATTTTTAATATGGTTTTGTAAAAAAAAAAAGTTACTAAAGGTGTCTGATATGGCATGTGGTGTATTGCAAAAAATGCTAAATGTATAATTAAATTATTTATTAAGATTATGAAAAATGAAAATATGAATAAAAAGTGTAAAATAACATTTTTATGAGAATTTATTATTAGAAAAAGGAAAACTTACAAGGGAATTAAAAAGAATGAAACTAGTGAAGCCACTTAAGATAAAATCAAAGCTAGAAAATCTTTATAGATCCTTGAATAAAATATTTTAATTAAAAATAAATAGAGAAGGAAGAATACTGAAACATAAGATGAAAACAAGAGCATAAAGACAAAACATAACCTGGCCACGACACATGTTCACATCAACAGTGCGTGTTTTCCGAGAATAAGTTTGGAGATCTATATCCTTTAAAACAATAATAGGTAAAGGGTTAAAAAGTAATTTTGATAATTGTTTTATCGTTAATCATGCATATACAGATATATTTAGTTATTATTTTTAACTAAAAATTACAGCGATATAATTATGATGCTCCATTCATTTAATAAGATAAATAATACCTTATCTTTCTATAGTATAGTTTAAAAATTAAGGTCTGAAACTATTTAAATATAATTTCTTTTATGTTTTTTAAAGATAAAATTGTGATGGACAGTAAATAATATTATAGTTATATATGAATATTGATCCTAATAATACTATTTAATAAATTTGAAATCCAATTAGAAAAACTTAAATATTAAAAAAGGAAAAATTTATAAGGATGGTATGGTGATTAAAAAGCATTGGATTCTTTGTGATTAAGAGGATTCGTAAATAGCATACAAATGCATCAAATCATGTTGGTCTTATTTAAATATATGTTATCGTGATTTTCTAGAAATTAAAACATAAAAAATAAAATGGAAAAAGATGCTCTTTGATACCTGATGTGAGTACAAATGAGATTCAATCCCGAGGAACCAACCTTTTCATCAACTTTTGTATTTGGGAATTTTTTAATTTATTTTCACCTATTAATATTAATAAAATATAAGACATTTGCACATATCTTAATTTTAATAAACAATATACGTGATTTTTAATTTATATACTTTTTCTTAAACCTAACCTAACCGGAGAAAAAGGCTAAAATCTTGATTAATGTTCATAAGAAAGTGAATCTATTATGATAATAATTTATTAGTACCTTATATTATTTTATTGTTTGTTGAATGAAGTAAGAATATTTATAATAAGGAAAGTTAGAAAGTGTCATTTTTGGGACCTCTAATTTCATTGGTTTGTAAAGGCAAAACATATGTACAGATAAAGATTCCTCTGAATCCCAATGCAATCTATACATGAAAAAGGAAACAATTAAATAGGACAATGTTGTTCTTACATAAATTTATCGTAGCAATAATAATAAGAAGATGAATTAATTTCCATGTGAAATTAATAAAAAATATTTGATGATTCACTTTTAAATTTGATTGGATTGGTTTTCAGCCTTGCATGCTGAAATTTTTTGAGTAATTGTTCTATCCCTTTCAGCCATTGTCTTATTCAAAGCAACAAATTCTTTGGTGAATTTACAATTACCCCCTCTCTCTTTCCATCTCTCTTGTTAATGGAGTTTCCCAATGCACCTAATTTTCTAAATCAAGCATCTTATATCACGTTTTTCAACCAAAAGAAACCATAGCAAAATCAAAAAACCAAATGTGAATTGAACAAAAGGAAAATCATAAGAAAAGTATTCATAATATGCAACTTATCAAATGAAAAGTTCATCATTTGTGTGGTGGTGGAGACCCTTCTCATATAATAATACTGTAGATCACTTTCTTTTGAGATTATATGCTTGATTTTCAATTCACATGTTAAGAAAATAATTTAAAAATAATTAAGAACATGTTAACAAAATGGATAATGATACTTTAACAACATTTTTTTGATAACATTTTAACATCATCTATGTGTCATTCTATGATTGGTCCATGTTAGTGTTTATGATTATTATTATTGATTGTGGAGTAATTTTGGATCAATCACAGAATGACACGTAAATGATGTTAAAATATTGTCAAGAAAATGTTGTCAAAGTATCACTATTCTATGCCTCCTTATTTAAATAATTTTCTGCTTCCAAACTTTGATGGCAAAATAGTCTATGAATACTTTTGTGTTATTGATAAGCTATATGCAAGAAGCACTGACATTTAAGTAATTTTATTCAATAATTTTGTAATAAAATAAGATAAGTGGTAAAAATAAATCACCAATCTCAATATCAAACCTATATTTATGTAATGAACTTCAATTATGATACATTAATTATTAATTAATGATTTTTATTATTTTGATTAATTATCAATTAATTAATATTTTGATCGATTGTTTCGTTGTTGGAGGATACACTACATATACTTTTTGAAATACTGAATTAAAGAAACAAAGGAATTCTTCTCCTCCAATGGTACGATTTAACATTCTCCAACAGAATTAATTCCAATGATAATCCAAACATAGCTTATATGCATAAGAGATCAATGCATTGAAACAACCGCCACAACATTTCAAACTACGTAACAAAAGCACTCATATTACATGCACCAGCATATTCATTGTATGCACTCAAATGCTAGCAGTTGATTTCTTATCAGTGAAACTGAAACTGTACGCATCAAATCTTATAATATATTTATACATGGTCGGATTTTTTACTTGAAAGGTTGAAGGATGAAGCAGGTTTGGATATTTAAACAGCCATTAACTTTGACATGTAAGAAATAGCTTGGTAAAGAGGACTTGGTCATTTTGATGCAAGTACTGATATGTCTTTGTGTTAGAAAAGGAAGGTGCATGGAGAGATAAAGAACAGAAAAGGAAATGGTGGTAGGGTAGCTTAGGTAGGGTAGCATTGGCATAAGATAGCAACACGAAGAGAAAAAGGCACAGTCCCCTATGGAATGGCCATATGATACATATTCTTCTATATATCTTCTCTCCCTTTCCTTTGCATTGGTTGCACATAGATAGATAGATAGTTGTGCTTTTTGTCTGCAGAAGCAGATCGAAGGCAAACACAACAAACAATATGTAGTGCTACCTTTAAAAGCTGAGAGATCTGTCACAATGATTCAACCCCTTTTCTTTGCTTTTTAATGATGCTCTTATACATACATACATTCGGCCATAGTCCTCCTAGTTGACTTGTCATTGTATAAAACACTCAAAAGATGCTTTCCCTCCTAACAATGCCAACTTTTCTGCATGGTTTGACTAATCCTTCATCTCTTTATTCTCTCTTCTCTCTCTATATATCATGTATTATATTCTATGTGCATCTTCTGCCTTCTCTCTCCCAATCCATTGCTTCATTTCCAAGGTGCTCTTTGTCCTTATCAAGTGAGAGATATTCAAACGAGTGCTAAGAGTTTTCACAGCATATTGCAAGCATATTTATCTGATTTATTTCCTCTTTTCTTCCTTCGAGAATTATGCAATATCAGGTTCCAGTAAGTTGTAATAATAATTCAGAAGAAAGAGACACCTCAGCATTCTTTTCTCAGAGTTTTTGTAATAAAATTTGATGATGCAACCATAGTTTTGGTCTTCTGTTGTTACTCGGTTGAATTTGTTTTCTCACTATTTTAATGGTGTAGTTTTAGTGTTTTTTGATTAGATATATAATCTTTAATAAAATAACTGTGCAATACTCTATTGCACTGTCACATATTCACACAGTTATCCCGACATAACCTCATCTATTACACTCTCCACACTTTTGATAAATATTGGATGTCGAGTTAATAAATAGATTAAAATTATAAAATTAAAATAAAAAAAATAAAATTTTGGAAAGGAAGTAAGAGGATCAAATTCACAAATAATGATGGTAACCAGATTTGCAATTAAATCTTAGTTGATATAATTATTCAGTTAATAATTTGTGTTAATTTGTTTCACATTACAAAACTGATTATCATTCCAGATTTTTAAAAATAGAAAAATGTTTGATAATGGTTTGTATAAATAGTGTCATATATAAAAATCACAAGACTTTTAAAATTCATGCATAACAATGTGTGTTTTGCNGATGATTCACTTTTAAATTTGATTGGATTGGTTTTCAGCCTTGCATGCTGAAATTTTTTGAGTAATTGTTCTATCCCTTTCAGCCATTGTCTTATTCAAAGCAACAAATTCTTTGGTGAATTTACAATTACCCCCTCTCTCTTTCCATCTCTCTTGTTAATGGAGTTTCCCAATGCACCTAATTTTCTAAATCAAGCATCTTATATCACGTTTTTCAACCAAAAGAAACCATAGCAAAATCAAAAAACCAAATGTGAATTGAACAAAAGGAAAATCATAAGAAAAGTATTCATAATATGCAACTTATCAAATGAAAAGTTCATCATTTGTGTGGTGGTGGAGACCCTTCTCATATAATAATACTGTAGATCACTTTCTTTTGAGATTATATGCTTGATTTTCAATTCACATGTTAAGAAAATAATTTAAAAATAATAAAGAACATGTTAACAAAATGGATAATGATACTTTAACAACATTTTTTTGAAAACATTTTAACATCATCTATGTGTCATTCTATGATTGGTCCATGTTAGTATTTATGATTATTATTATTGATTGTGGAGTAATTTTGGATCAATCACAAAATGACACGTAAATAATGTTAAAATATTGTCAAAAAAATGTTGTCAAAATATCAATATTCTATGCCTCCTTATTTAAATAATTTTCTGCTTCCAAACTTTGATGGCAAAATAGTCTATGAATACTTTTGTGTTATTGATAAGCTATATGCAAGAAGCACTGACATTTAAGTAATTTTATTCAATAATTTTGTAATAAAATAAGATAAGTGGTAAAAATAAATCACCAATCTCAATATCAAACCTATATTTATGTAATGAACTTCAATTATGATACATTAATTATTAATTAATGATTTTTATTATTTTGATTAATTATCAATTAATTAATATTTTGATCGATTGTTTCGTTGTTGGAGGATACACTACATATACTTTTTGAAATACTGAATTAAAGAAACAAAGGAATTCTTCTCCTCCAATGGTACGATTTAACATTCTCCAACAGAATTAATTCCAATGATAATCCAAACATAGCTTATATGCATAAGAGATCAATGCATTGAAACAACCGCCACAACATTTCAAACTACGTAACAAAAGCACTCATATTACATGCACCAGCATATTCATTGTATGCACTCAAATGCTAGCAGTTGATTTCTTATCAGTGAAACTGAAACTGTACGCATCAAATCTTATAATATATTTATACATGGTCGGATTTTTTACTTGAAAGGTTGAAGGATGAAGCAGGTTTGGATATTTAAACAGCCATTAACTTTGACATGTAAGAAATAGCTTGGTAAAGAGGACTTGGTCATTTTGATGCAAGTACTGATATGTCTTTGTGTTAGAAAAGGAAGGTGCATGGAGAGATAAAGAACAGAAAAGGAAATGGTGGTAGGGTAGCTTAGGTAGGGTAGCATTGGCATAAGATAGCAACACGAAGAGAAAAAGGCACAGTCCCCTATGGAATGGCCATATGATACATATTCTTCTATATATCTTCTCTCCCTTTCCTTTGCATTGGTTGCACATAGATAGATAGATAGTTGTGCTTTTTGTCTGCAGAAGCAGATCGAAGGCAAACACAACAAACAATATGTAGTGCTACCTTTAAAAGCTGAGAGATCTGTCACAATGATTCAACCCCTTTTCTTTGCTTTTTAATGATGCTCTTATACATACATACATTCGGCCATAGTCCTCCTAGTTGACTTGTCATTGTATAAAACACTCAAAAGATGCTTTCCCTCCTAACAATGCCAACTTTTCTGCATGGTTTGACTAATCCTTCATCTCTTTATTCTCTCTTCTCTCTCTATATATCATGTATTATATTCTATGTGCATCTTCTGCCTTCTCTCTCCCAATCCATTGCTTCATTTCCAAGGTGCTCTTTGTCCTTATCAAGTGAGAGATATTCAAACGAGTGCTAAGAGTTTTCACAGCATATTGCAAGCATATTTATCTGATTTATTTCCTCTTTTCTTCCTTCGAGAATTATGCAATATCAGGTTCCAGTAAGTTGTAATAATAATTCAGAAGAAAGAGACACCTCAGCATTCTTTTCTCAGAGTTTTTGTAATAAAATTTGATGATGCAACCATAGTTTTGGTCTTCTGTTGTTACTCGGTTGAATTTGTTTTCTCACTATTTTAATGGTGTAGTTTTAGTGTTTTTTGATTAGATATATAATCTTTAATAAAATAACTGTGCAATACTCTATTGCACTGTCACATATTCACACAGTTATCCCGACATAACCTCATCTATTACACTCTCCACACTTTTGATAAATATTGGATGTCGAGTTAATAAATAGATTAAAATTATAAAATTAAAATAAAAAAAATAAAATTTTGGAAAGGAAGTAAGAGGATCAAATTCACAAATAATGATGGTAACCAGATTTGCAATTAAATCTTAGTTGATATAATTATTCAGTTAATAATTTGTGTTAATTTGTTTCACATTACAAAACTGATTATCATTCCAGATTTTTAAAAATAGAAAAATGTTTGATAATGGTTTGTATAAATAGTGTCATATATAAAAATCACAAGACTTTTAAAATTCATGCATAACAATGTGTGTTTTGCTTTTTACGATTATGTAGTGAATTGAAAGAAAGAAAAGTACCTCATCTTCTGTCTATTTATTTTGCAGAAAGTGCTAATTGAGTGAGAGCATTAAGGTTTCTTAATCAACAAATGTTATGGTCGATAATATGGCTCCTTTACAAAAGGTCTATGGCTCGTTGTATTCACACTTTCATCAGTTTTTTGTCCTTAATGCTATAGAATAATTCCCTGACAATAATCTCATATGTCCTACACTTCCTTCCCATGAAAAGAAGAGAAAAAGTTGAGCCAGCGAAAGTGATGGAAACATACCTATATTATTATGCCAAAAATGCATGCAAAACCTTTTTGCCATTTTGTTTTCATTTATACTTGCTTTTAGTATGGGAAGGAAAGTACAAAAGAAACCCAAAGTATTCCCATATTAAACTACTTCATATCCAATAATAATAAATTTATAAAAAAAGGGTGTCAAAATACTGTGCAATGCCCTTCTTCAGAATTAGATAGCCAATGTAAGGACAATAAACTCAATTGAAGGGAATGAACTGTGTTAATCCGGACAATTCTCTCATAGTAATCTTGTTAATAATGTTCAATCATCATGAATTACTTCAAAGAAAACTCATTGCTCAGCATTTAGATAATCTAATTCAGACTACTTGGCTTAGACTCCAGTTTTGTCTCATAAATCCATCCACAGCACCGTAAAAAACTTCGGGAACTCTATAAATTCAATGTAATCTTATTACAAATCTTGAAGCGGTTGTTATTACATCACCATCTGTCAAGACTATATCGCATATGGTCTCTTTCTTCCATTTGAGAACACTCAACTAAGTTACAGAAATTTCACAACACAATGTCAAACTGGAAGAAATAAAAAGATACAGATAGTTATTTTGGAGACGGTTGAGATGCATCAGTTTGCTCTTGATTTGACCCTGTAACAGCTGCAGTGGCTGCAGCAGCCATTGCAGTTGCAGCTGCACCCACTTTTACACCACCTGCAGCTTTCATTGCTCCAGCTATTTTAGCAAATGCTGCTATGCCTCCAACAAAAATAGCCCTTAATGCAACTGTTGGTTTTACCACCATTTCTATGTCAGACTACCTGAAAAGAACAAAGTCAAGACCAAAAATGGTTATCAATCATAACCCAACATGAGATCATAACAGTATGCCCTGTCACCATGGTTTCCATCAATCCAGTAACATCAACAATCTAAATGCCTACAAGCAGCTAACTAATTAGGACATGATTAACTTTTACCCCTAAAAGGCCTCACAATTACCACATCTGCGCTAGTTAGTAGAGATGACGATGACCTAAAACCATTATTTGATCAAAGATTTGTTTGGTGTTACAATAGATTTTAAATTTGCTATGAATGGAATGCCTAAAACAAAAATGAAACTCAAAGATGTGTTATCCCTTTTAAAAGTTGATGGTCTTACCACAATACAAGAATTGATATCATAATTAAAACATATTCCACCCATTCTGCCATCTGATATAATATGCTTTTTGGTAGATGTGAAAGGCACCAATTGATCCATTTACTGACCTATAGTGGAATAAAAATTGGCTGTTGCTATAATCAATCTATTCTCATCATAGAGTTAAAAGACCACAATATACTTAACAGTACAGAAGCTTCTACAATTTTATATCCTAGAATAGTGATAGAGGCTTAAAACTTCAAACTGAGAGCATTGAAATTTATTTTCTGTTGCTTAGACTTGTTTTTTGTTGTAGCAGTTGAACCTGTGCGGTACAAGTATAATTCTTTTACACTTTAATCCTTTCAAACAACAACCTTGTTGATCCTGTATCTGTCAGACCTTCATCTCTAACAAAAATTTCAGAAAAGAAAAAGTAAGGAACCAGAACTTCATTTTTTGACAATGCAGAATGACATCAAGTGATTCCGGTTGCCAACATCACCTAATGGAATGAGGCTTTGTTGTTGTTGTCGTCATTAAACCAGAACCTAAAAAATAGTTAAAACCCACCTTATCTACCAGCTGACATGGATGAAATGATACCCGCTGACCATAACACAGAAAAGGCAACAAATTAACAGGAAATTTTAACTCTGTCATGACTTAATATGAATTTAGTTTCCTTGAAGCTATCTTCTAATAATAAAACAGTTTAGTTTTCCTCAAATGGAACCAAATTCAAGCTATTTCTGTTGAAGGTAGATCAGAATAAGATTAAAATACCAGCTATGGTTTGCTGTGATTGTGACTCTTTTGTGGACAGCTGATATTTCTGTATTCTTGAACTGAACAGACTGAAAGATTGCATACCGCAAGCAAAATCACCTTCAGCACAACTATCATGTTTTTTCCTTTGCCAATTACAAATAATTTCTACAATGACAGGGAAGCAAATACTTTTTCCTCGGTTTTCCAATTTCTTTACCCAGTATTGAAATTATTCTAGAATTTAAAAAATCCTTCTCAGCCCATTATCATTCAGAAATCCTTTGAAAATGACTTTCCATGTTTTGGTATCCGTTATAAAAGAGACTCTGAAGATTGCATATTCTATCAAATGAGCAAATGCCTAAAACAATGTTCAATCATCTTGTAGAAAAAGAATGCCTAAAACAATGTTCAATCATCTTGTAGAAAACGAATGCTTATTCATTGTATCACTATCACCTTAACTTTTAACACCACTCCAAATCCAGAAACGCCATACCAAAACCTCCATCACCATTACTCATAATTGTTATTATTGCTCTTATCTTATAATCATGACCAAGATTGTACAACCAGTTTACACTGTTTTCTAAGTATATACATATTTCTATTGTAAAGGATCAAAATGAACACCGAATTTAGAACCAAACTCCGTTCCTATGAGTATTCTCATTGTATAGTAAAACACTATGTTCTATTCTATAATTTTGTAAGCACTTTCTAATGATTTCTACTTCTCTCAATTAACGCACGCATGAAATTCTACAAGAACCAATATCCTTCTCCTTTGGTTTTGATTCTGAGCCTAAAACAGAAGCCAAACAAAGGAAACAAAAATTGGATGACATGTACAGTTTGTTATAGTTACATGTCGAGCTAAAATTGCATAGAAAAAGTAGGGAAACTGAATAACAATCAAACCTGAAATTGGAAAAAGGGCGAAGCAGGTGAAAGATGAAACCTTTGAAATGATGTAAGAAAAGATAAAGAGAATGGAAGCAGTGAATCTATACCTCGCCAGTGTTTTCCTTAACCTCGGACCTAAAAGTAAGGGTGGCGCTACTCCGTTTACTGCAAACGACATCGTTTTTTCCGTTACATCTGTTTGGTTTCTACCACAAGTACACATACGCAGTTATTTTCTGTACCTCCATGATTTCTTTTTGCACTCCTTATAAAATTACTTTTCATTTTATCTTTCTTCAAAAGGATAAAATGAGTTTTTTTCTTTTCTAAAATTTAAAAATAATTGTTTAGATCTTGTTAACATTTAAATATTAAAAAAAGTTAAATAATAAAATTTTAGGGTTTAAACTGATTTTATTTAGATGTAAATTTAACGTTGAAAATTAAAATAACGTCGGACTAAGGTGTCTTTTTATTTATTGATGTTTTGAATAGTGTGGAATGAAAAATCTCCAATAGACAAATGTGACATACTTTGCTGTGTTGATATTAAATATTTATAAACGTTATGAAGATATATTAACGTATTATGCTAATATATGATTAAAAAATAATTATAATAGTGGATGCATTATTATTTTTGGACCTATAAATGATGTCGGTATGTACAATTGATATTTATATTTATTTAGTATTTAACAAAATTCTTCTTTTTAAAGAAAAACTATAATTTTATATCTTTTAATGAGAATTTAAATTTATAAAATTAAATTTTTTAATTTTTAGTTATAACTTTATTTTAAGAAAATATTCAAACAAAAGCTACGTTTGTTTAAAACGAAATTATTTTTTTTAAAGAAAAATATAATTAAGTAATGAAAAGTTAAGATTTTGGGCCAGATCTAGTTTTACACTGCTATGATCCATTAAAGATCCACTTCCTTTCATCAGTTTTTTTTTAACAGATTTTAAAATCTGGAAAATCCAAATTTTCAATCTGAAATCTGTTCACATCAAAACAAGGCTGAAATCATCAACTTCTTCCCCGATCCTGAAATTTCTATACCTAAATCCTCTTCTCCCTTCCTTCTTTACAATTGATACAAAGGTAAATCTAATTGATAATATGAATGATGATATATGTTTCTCCTTTTTTTCTTCTGTTCCTTTTTCTAGTTTTATTTTTTTTGTCGGATTTTGTTTTCGCAGAACGCAGGGTGGTGCACGGTTGTGCTGGTCGACGTGGTGGGGTTCGCCGTGATTCCGATAGTTGGATATTCAAGTCCCACCGTTGCATTGGTGTTATAAGGTATCTTTCGTTTTCACTGTGTAGTTACTTACTATCAGGGGTTACTGTAGTTTCCTTCTGTGCTGTATCTTCTCATTGATTTTTGTTGCTGTTATAAGGTTTGTAAATTTCGTTTTTTTCCGATTCAGTAAAACGATAACATTCTTTCATACTTCAGTTGCTCTTTATGCATTCAGTGAATTTGTTTGCAATGCACTAGAACTGAATATGTTTTGAATAGCCAAAGGAGAGGGACGTGCACTACATCAATTAAAGAATACATTGTCAAGATAAATCTACAATTAATATTGTTGAGTTCAACTTTTTGCGTCGAGCACTTGAGCTCAATGGCTACTTTCTAGTAGGAATATCGTTTTGCAAGAAGCTCAACAATATTAGTTTTGGAATGAGACATCACAATGGAGAAAATAAAAAGTTTTCTCCAAGTTATCTAGAGGTCAATTTCAGGAATAAAACGTCAATGCGTGATTCAACTATAAATTTTGGTTATATTATTTCAAGCAATATAATAAGAATAGTAATATTACCGATTAGAATCCATTCTGGTTGCATCTTTGGAGGTGGCAGAAAAGGTTTGTTTCTCAGCAGCTTCAGATGCTTCAAAAACTCTATCTGTGCATTGAAAACAGAAATCTAGTTGATGGTGTATGTTTANTGCAACTGTTGGTTTTACCACCATTTCTATGTCAGACTACCTGAAAAGAACAAAGTCAAGACCAAAAATGGTTATCAATCATAACCCAACATGAGATCATAACAGTATGCCCTGTCACCATGGTTTCCATCAATCCAGTAACATCAACAATCTAAATGCCTACAAGCAGCTAACTAATTAGGACATGATTAACTTTTACCCCTAAAAGGCCTCACAATTACCACATCTGCGCTAGTTAGTAGAGATGACGATGACCTAAAACCATTAATTGATCAAAGATTTGTTTGGTGTTACAATAGATTTTAAATTTGCTATGAATGGAATGCCTAAAACAAAAATGAAACTCAAAGATGTATTATCCCTTTTAAAAGTTGATGGTCTTACCACAATACAAGAATTGATATCATAATTAAAACATATTCCAACCATTCTGCCATCTGATATAATATGCTTTTTGGTAGATGTGAAAGGCACCAATTGATCCATTTACTGACCTATAGTGGAATAAAAATTGGCTGTTGCTATAATCAATCTATTCTCATCATAGAGTTAAAAGACCACAATATACTTAACAGTACAGAAGCTTCTACAATTTTATATCCTAGAATAGTGATAGAGGCTTAAAACTTCAAACTGAGAGCATTGAAATTTATTTTCTGTTGCTTAGACTTGTTTTTTGTTGTAGCAGTTGAACCTGTGCGGTACAAGTATAATTCTTTTACACTTTAATCCTTTCAAACAACAACCTTGTTGATCCTGTATCTGTCAGACCTTCATCTCTAACAAAAATTTCAGAAAAGAAAAAGTAAGGAACCAGAACTTCATTTTTTGACAATGCAGAATGACATCAAGTGATTCCGGTTGCCAACATCACCTAATGGAATGAGGCTTTGTTGTTGTTGTCGTCATTAAACCAGAACCTAAAAAATAGTTAAAACCCACCTTATCTACCAGCTGACATGGATGAAATGATACCCGCTGACCATAAAACAGAAAAGGCAACAAATTAACAGGAAATTTTAACTCTGTCATGACTTAATATGAATTTAGTTTCCTTGAAGCTATCTTCTAATAATAAAACAGTTTAGTTTTCCTCAAATGGAACCAAATTCAAGCTATTTATGTTGAAAGTAGATCAGAATAAGATTAAAATAACAGCTATGGTTTGCTGTGATTGTGACTCTTTTGTGGACAGCTGATATTTCTGTATTCTTGAACTGAACAGACTGAAAGATTGCATACCGCAAGCAAAATCACCTTCAGCACAACTATCATGTTTTTTCCTTTGCCAATTACAAATAATTTCTACAATGACAGGGAAGCAAATACTTTTTCCTCGGTTTTCCAATTTCTTTACCCAGTATTGAAATTATTCTAGAATTTAAAAAATCCTTCTCAGCCCATTATCATTCAGAAATCCTTTGAAAATGACTTTCCATGTTTTGGTATCAGTTATAAAAGAGACTCTGAAGATTGCATATTCTATCAAATGAGCAAATGCCTAAAACAATGTTCAATCATCTTGTAGAAAAAGAATGACTAAAACAATGTTCAATCATCTTGTAGAAAACGAATGCTTATTCATTGTATCACTATCACCTTAACTTTTAACACCACTCCAAATCCAGAAACGCCATACCAAAACCTCCATCACCATTACTCATAATTGTTATTATTGCTCTTATCTTATAATCATGACCAAGATTGTACAACCAGTTTACACTGTTTTCTAAGTATATACATATTTCTATTGTAAAGGATCAAAATGAACACCGAATTTAGAACCAAACTCCGTTCCTATGAGTATTCTCATTGTATAGAGTAAAACACTGTTCTATTCTATAATTTTGTAAGCACTTTCTAATGATTTCTACTTCTCTCAATTAACGCACGCATGAAATTCTACAAGAACCAATATCCTTCTCCTTTGGTTTTGATTCTGAGCCTAAAACAGAAGCCAAACAAAGGAAACAAAAATTGGATGACATGTACAGTTTGTTATAGTTACATGTCGAGCTAAAATTGCATAGAAAAAGTAGGGAAACTGAATAACAATCAAACCTGAAATTGGAAAAAGGGCGAAGCAGGTGAAAGATGAAACCTTTGAAATGATGTAAGAAAAGATAAAGAGAATGGAAGCAGTGAATCTATACCTCGCCAGTGTTTTCCTTAACCTCGGACCTAAAAGTAAGGATGGCGCTACTCCGTTTACTGCAAACGACATCGTTTTTTCCCTTACATCTGTTTGGTTTCTACCACAAGTACACATACGCAGTTATTTTCTGTACCTCCATGATTTCTTTTTGCACTCCTTATAAAATTACTTTTCATTTTATCTTTCTTCAAAAGGATAAAATGAGTTTTTGCTTTTCTAAAATTTAAAAATAATTTTTTAAATCTTGTTAACATTTAAATATTAAAAAAAGTTAAATAATAAAATTTTAGGGTTTAAACTGATTTTATTTAGATGTAAATTTAACGTTGAAAATTAAAATAACGTCGGACTAAGGTGTCTTTTTATTTATTGATGTTTTGAACAGTGTGGAACGAAAAATCTCCAATAGACAAATATTCAATATATTATTTGATACTTAAGTCAGTAACACTAAGTAAATAATGCGATAATAGTAAATGATATTAAGTAAAATGTGACATACTTTCCTGTGTTGATATTAAATTTTTGTAAACGTTATGAAGATATATTAACGTATTATGCTAATATATGATTAAATAATAATTATAATAGTGGATGCATTATTATTTTTGGACCTATAAATGATGTCGGTATGTACAATTGATATTTATATTTATTTAGTATTTAACAAAATTCTTCTTTTTAAAGAAAAACTATAATTTTATATCTTTTAATGAGAATTTAAATTTATAAAATTAATTTTTTTAATATTTAGTTATAACTTTATTTTAAGAAAATATTCAAACAAAAACTACGTTTGTTTAAAATGAAATTATTATTTTTAAAGAAAAATATAATTAAGTAATGAAAAGTTAAGATTTTGGGCCAGATCTAGTTTTACACTGCTATGATCCATTAAAGATCCACTTCCTTTCATCAGTTTTTTTTTAACAGATTTTAAAATCTGGAAAATCCAAATTTTCAATCTGAAATCTGTTCACATCAAAACAAGGCTGAAATCATCAACTTCTTCCCCGATCCTGAAATTTCTATACCTAAATCCTCTTCTCCCTTCCTTCTTTACAATTGATACAAAGGTAAATCTAATTGATAATATGAATGATGATATATGTTTCTCCTTTTTTTCTTCTGTTCCTTTTTCTAGTTTTATTTTTTTTGTCGGATTTTGTTTTCGCAGAAAGCAGGGTGGTGCACGGTTGTGCTGGTCGACGTGGTGGGGTTCGCCGTGATTCCGATAGTTGGATATTCAAGTACCACCGTTGCATTGGTGTTATAAGGTATCTTTCGTTTTCACTGTGTAGTTACTTACTATCAGGGGTTACTGTAGTTTCCTTCTGTGCTGTATCTTCTCATTGATTTTTGTTGCTGTTATAAGGTTTGTAAATTTCGTTTTTTTCCGATTCAGTAAAACGATAACATTCTTTCATACTTCAGTTGCTCTTTATGCATTCAGTGAATTTGTTTGCAATGCACTAGAACTGAATATGTTTTGAATAGCCAAAGGAGAGGGACGTGCACTACATCAATTAAAGAATACATTGTCAAGATAAATCTACAATTAATATTGTTGAGTTCAACTTTTTGCGTCGAGCACTTGAGCTCAATGGCTACTTTCTAGTAGGAATATCGTTTTGCAAGAAGCTCAACAATATTAGTTTTGGAATGAGACATCACAATGGAGAAAATAAAAAGTTTTCTCCAAGTTATCTAGAGGTCAATTTCAGGAATAAAACGTCAATGCGTGATTCAACTATAAATTTTGGTTATATTATTTCAAGCAATATAATAAGAATAGTAATATTACCGATTAGAATCCATTCTGGTTGCATCTTTGGAGGTGGCAGAAAAGGTTTGTTTCTCAGCAGCTTCAGATGCTTCAAAAACTCTATCTGTGCATTGAAAACAGAAATCTAGTTGATGGTGTATGTTTAAAAGAATTATATTAGCTTATGGGGCTTATTTAGGTATCCAAGATAACAATAATAAGATTGGTATATGACTTTTCAAAGACTAAGTAGTGTATGCACCATTAATGCAATTTTACATTTATATTCTATCGTGACGTAAGAAAAATGTGTTGAACTTTTATAATAATTATCTTTTTCACACCATATTAGTCGTACTTATATGATTTTTTAGTAGTTGAAAATGTAAAACTTTCCCTTAAAATGTCGGAAAATTTGATGATGAAAACAATGCTAGCCTTTAGGATCTTGAACTTTGGTTTGTTTTAGAAGTGTTACTTATTGACTGCATCAAGGGAAGCCAGTGGCACCTTTCTAGGGAGCATCTTTAGAAAAATGTTATATGTTTTCATATATAGCTGTTTTCAGGTGGCTCCCATATTTCTATTAGCTTAATGTTAGGTATATCAAATTCATGAATAAGCTTAATAATTAGTGATTTTGAAGACTGTCCAATTTTTTGCAAACATGAAAAGTAGATATATTTCTGATGTCTGATAATACATAACAGGGAAGACTCTTAGTTATCTATAAATAGTGTGCTATAGGTCTGGAGTGACCTTACAGTACTATTTGGCTTATGCTGTGTAATGTTTTTCAGCTCTAGTGGTAGCAGCCGCTTTCTTTGCAAATTGTCAATATCGCAGCTGTTACTTGGTGGGCAAAATTTCCTCTTTACTCACCTGTTTTCTGAGTTATAGAATCCATTTGTTTGTTGTTCAGTTTTTAATATTTTTGTAATTTGGGTTGATTTTGTTTTCCAAAATAATTAGGGGTTTATGCTATGATCCAAAGAACAACATGTGACCTGTAAATAAAAGACCCTCATTTTGACGTTATCTCCTGTCTGTTTGCAATGGCGTGTGCATTATGTCTGTCTGTGGCACACTCATTTTAATTAATATATTATCTTTAGTCTTTAATATTAATATTATTATATTTTTTTAATATTTTATATGTTATTTAATTTTTTTTATATATTTATGTATTGGATGAAGTAGTTATTTTAATCTTAGAAAATATAGATTTAAATTTATAAAAACTATTTTTTCTTAAAAAACATGGATCTAGAAATGGATTTGGATGTAAAACTTATTCCAAATATTTGGATTTGGATTTACAAAATATCCAAATTAGTTTGTAGAAGAAATGGAATTGGGTTCAAAATCTTATTCAAATATCTGGATCTGGACTAGATCTGGATTGGATTCTCTAAAATGCAGTCCATGACCACCCCTACTTATCAATCTCAACCTGAATTAGGGTTTAATTTTTTTTTCTTTTTGTAGAGGAAGTATAATTGTAGAGACAGATGGATCACTATGGTTCTTCTGGCGGAAGCTGGACCATGATCCCAACTCACAATTCAAATGTCCAATCCCAATCGAACCAGGACCCTAACGTCTTTCTTCAACAACAACAACAACAACAATTTCTCCAGCCACAACCTTTTCAGCAAGCATTACAACCTCAGTCTCCATTTCAACAGCACCAGCACCTTTATCAGCAGCAACAACAACAGCAACGTCTACTACAACAACAACAGCAACAACAGCAGCAGCAGCAACAACAGAACCTTCACCAATCACTGGCCTCTCACTACCATCTCTTACATGTAACTTGTAACCCCTTCTAAAAATTTCAGTTGCATCTCCATATACCTTTATTTTTTTCTTTTCAATAAGGGAATTGCTTGTTATGGTCACAGTTGGTGGAGAATTTGTCTGAGGTTATTGAACATGGAAACCCAGATCAGCAATCAGATGCATTGGTTTGAAATTTTCCTTTTTCACGGTTTTGATTAATCCCTTTTTTTAATCAAATTTTCCTTTTAGGATTTTCAATATATATTTTTCTTTTTCATTGTTGTGATTTCACTGGTTAAAGATCAATGAATTGAGTAACCACTTTGAGAAGTGCCAACAGCTGTTAAACTCAATCTCGGAGTCGATTAGCACCAAGGCTATGGTAATATGCAATTCACTAACTTTATCCTTTTCTTGTTTTATATGTTAATTGTTAAACAGGATTGGCAAGTTTGTTGAACACTTTTGCTTCAAAATTCTGAGTTTCCAAAGTCTGCTGAAACTGAATGGCTCTACTTTGGTCTTGCCTTTAATCAAATGCACATTATGTGCTCTCTCTCTCTTGCTCTTTTTCTATACTCCTCCTATCTTTTGTTACTTGGACTGTGCATGATAAACAAAATCTACATCATTGATCTTGAAAACCTTGTCTTACCACTAAATATCCTTGTGCTGGAAACATCTTGAACTAGTAGTTTGGAGCCGGGGTTATTCTTAGCATTATATGTGTGTTGAATGCAGACAGTTGAAGGACAGAAGAAGAAGCTAGAGGAAAGTGAGCAATTGCTAAATCAGAGAAGGTCTGTACAAATTGTCTTAGATATTTCTGTGTGGATAAGTATCTAGATGCTAAAAGAATGTGTTTGTTTTCCCATGTTCCAGAGACTTGATTGCCAATTACAGAAAATCTGTGGAGGAGCTTGTTAGGTCTGAGCCATAGAGAGTGTTATCCATTCAGATAGGTAGGGAACTTTAACTGACTTTTTTTGCCTTGATGTTTTAGTAGTGGTGTGGATCACCAGTTTTCTACCTTAAAATTCAGATTAGCAAAAATGCTAATACTATTTATACACGATAAGTACTTAAAGATGCATCTCTCAATACACGTTCTGTAATATCTGCAAATATTATAGGATGAATGTCTGTAGCCATAGAAGAATTTCAATATTCTTTACTGCATTTTGATTCTTTTTAATTTGTAAGGTGGAATACCCAGTTATAGAATCCAATTGGGTGATACTTAAATATATTTTGGTTTTGAGTAGTCACAGGAAATCTCTATCTAAAAGACTTAGAAGCCACAAATAATATTAATTGATGAACTATGAATTGCCTCTTTGAGAAATCCACTTGTAATTGTGTTTTGGTTTGAAAATATCGCAATGTTTGTTTTATATGGTGTAATTGATTGAAAGTTCCAGTCCTGTTTTTAAAATTTTTCCCTCCTATGCACTGATTTCATGTATCCATTCAAGTTCTACTAGAAAGAAGGGGAGCAAAGTTGTTAGGTATTTTCTTTTTTAAACAAGAAAATGTAGCATCCATTCTAAAACACTCCTGGTTCAAGAATGAGCGTGAGTTAGTAAATGTCACACTTTCTTCCATTTATAGTAATCTAGATGCTGGTTCTGGTTCAATATTTATTATTTTAACTTTTTGTGACCTTAACTTTTGATCTTATATTACAGATGTAGATGTGAGTGTTGTAATTCTCCATTCTCATTCGGATTATTTATGTTCAACCTTGGAGATTTAAGCCTGTGCATGAATTTATAATTTAATAGATATTCTGCAAGTTCCGTGTCAAGTTTTGGCCCATGGATGTCAAAGTTTGTATCCATGAAACAAGGTGATTCTGACAATTTGGAGCAATGAGGAATGTAATGTTAATGATATATGATACAAAATTGGTTGCCTCCTATTGGTGCCGTTTATCTATAATGTTGAATACATAATGTCATTCATTACACTGAGAATAATTGTCTGAAGAACATTGAAAAGTGAAATCTAAAATGCAGTTTTCGCAACTGTTTATACGTATCACAAGGGTGCTTTATGATATGTTTCTTAAATGATGCAAAGTTTTGAAATCCTTATTTGTGAATTGGTAGTTCTGATGCGCCAATACAAAAATTAGAGATAATTTCTAAGTAATTTGTGCATCAGCATGAGATCATTACCCATATTGCGTTCAAATACTGATAGAATCTATAATATATAAGTGGTTATATAACAGGAAAATAACTACTATTATTTTATTGATCTCCTGCTTGTTAATATTAAAACATATAATCTCCTACTGGTTAACATTGAAATATTTAAATACGTGCTTTTGTAATGTAAATTTTACATAAACTTTTAAGATCTTTTTTTTTAATATGTAATTCCAATTTTAATAACAATATTTTTGCATCAATTATTAAAAAAAATTATTTTAATATCTGAACCGAAGTAAAGTTGTTGACGCAAAAACCATTAAACAATTGAAGAATTGTTAACATTTTATTTATTTATTTAAATTTATCAAATTAACGTAACTTTTAAAAGAGAATAATTTTATTTAAACTATAATTTTTGGTTAATATATTTGATTTTAGATTTTTTTTTAATTATATTAATGTTTTAGGTTCAATTTTATTTCAATTATTTTACTAGTGGAAATATATACATGTGTGTCCATTTTTTGATAATAAAAATGTTATTAAATTTATAGATAGCATATTTCCAAAAAGTAATTACAAAAAAAAGCAGTTACAAAATTCAAAAAGTTAAATAATTAATAAAATAACTTTATATAATTTATTATTATTATTATATCAGCAACATATACAAATTTGATATTTAAAAACTTTATAGGATGCAAAAATGTATATTACCCAACATGATAGCCCATAAACGAAGATGAGAAAAACGAACATAATTAATAAATTTTATCGTTTAAGATTTTCGATTGAGAATAATCTATGAATTGGATTCATATTCACTGTTATTATATCTGAGTAATTTAAAGATTTTTATATCTAATTTTGATATTTTTTTCATTATTCTGGCAGAGAGATGACTGAAAATTGGAGAGTAAAAAAGCTAACTATACGATGACACGTTAGTCGTTAAATTTGTATAATTAGATTGACGGAGTTTGAGCCACTGATATATCAGAAATAATACTCGAAAATTGTCCGAATGAATCGCTCTCTGTTGTTGAAACGGCATAACGATATGAAGATGATGTAATAATTAATTAACTTAATACTTTTGACTTGGCTTTCAAATACACATCGTCTTCCCAAAAAAGGCAAAAACAGCATAAATAATATGATATGAAACTATTTTTAGGGCATAATCCAATAATAAGAGTTGCAGTAGTTCTGATAATGATAGAAAGAGAAGTTGGAAGAAAAGGGAAAAAATAGAAGGAAAGATCCAAAAATAACACTTGGCAAAAGGGAAACGGTTAGTGTATGAATTATATCTATCTGTCATTCCTTTCATTTCTCTCCATCTCCCATTGTTCTGATCAAACAAAGCCGAGAAAATAAGGGAAGAGAAATCCTTTTTCTGAGCACCTTCCCCGCCGGAGATGCAGCCGAAATCTCACACCCCTTTTTTTCTTCCTCCCCAAAAGGCCATGAACAACAATAACAACAACACCAGCACCATTACAACCACCAACACCAACACCAACACCAAAACCAACAACAGAATCTCCTCTACAAGAAATGGCAACAGCACCACTCAGGCTTGCGCTGCATGCAAGTACCAACGCAGAAAGTGTGCACCCGACTGCATTCTCGCACCGTATTTCCCTCACGATCGACAGCGCCAGTTCCTCAACGCTCACAAGTTGTTCGGAGTAAGCAACATCACCAAAATCATTAAGGTTGTCAGCCCTCGCGACAAGGACCAAGCCATGCGTACCATAATCTACCAATCCGACATGCGTGCCTCGGACCCTGTCGGAGGCTGCTACAGGTACATTGTCGACCTGCAGACTCAGATTGAGTACTGCCGAGCCGAGCTGGACCTCGTCCTTCAGCAACTCGCCATGTTTCGAGCTCAGGCTCAGCACCAGAATCAGCACCAGTATCAGCACCAGCACGGTATCTATGCTCCCAACAGCGTTAACGTCACCGTCAATGGAGATGGTGAGGTTTTGAACGCCGACCCGATGGGGCTGTACGGCCAGCCACAGTATCAGTGTCTGCAGCCGCACCAACAGGAGCAGTATGTTATGATGCATGAAAATGGAAGCCAGAACTTCAACGGCGCCACCCCTTTGCAGGAACAGATGAACACGTGGGCTGTGCAGAACACTGCTGTGTCGCTTTCTTCGTTGTCGTTGCAAGGACAGAGTAGTAATGTTAGCGATGAATACGATCACAAGGCCGTCATTGACATTGATTCTGATGAGAGAAGTGAGTTAGGGTTCGAGTCTGAAGAATTAGTCCATCGCAGGTTTGTCTATCAGTAGTACATATCTGTGTTCACATTGTGATTTCAAAGGGCTATATCAGATTACAATTACGTTGGAATTTCATTTACTTAATGCTTGGATAATATCGTTTTCATTCACATATTTATGTAACTAATGTCTGATTAAGTGTAACTGCATGATTTTTGTTTGAATGCATGCATCTGCTAACATTTAAGGAGCATTTCTGCAATGGGATTTTTCTTGTCTTGGGTTTGTCATGGTTCCTTTGTTCAAAGATTAAGATTGCTTACAGTAATGTAAAATCATAGGTCCTGGAGATTTCTCAGATTTTGTATTGGAATTGTTTTAATAAGAGGTCTGCAATGGCATAAATTCGATGACAGAAGTGAATAACTGCTAAATACTTATGATTATAGTTGTTTAATTATGTCTGTGAGGGATGAAACATAACATGAATGTTGATGATTTGAATGATTTTGCAGTGATGAATCAGTGTTGTTTAAGATAGATGATGCAGTAATAAAAGCTGAGGGTGACTGCATGCAACAAGCTCAAGATCATGATTTGAAAGGTGCAGCAACATCGTTTAGCCTCACAAATTGTACTTGCTGATGAGTGTTAATTAGCATAGATTGTAGAAGTTGCTGCCTCCACATATCATTTTGTTGGCATTAGGATATTCCGTTTTTGTGGTTAAGAGTTTGCAGCAGTCTTATATGCGCAGCTAGAGTTATTTACACAATTTCTTACAAACAATTATTCTTTTCTTCTTGTAGTCAATCACAATAATGTATTCCTGCTCCTTGATGTCTGATTCAATGAAAGGAATGAACAGATTAGGTTTATGTTCACATTCAAATATTGTATCAAACTTATGAAGAACAACAGAGAGAGAGAGAGAGTGTTGAATTTTAGTTAAAAGTAATAAAGAGATGGACAAAGAAAGAAGGGATATGAACTCATCTCTGAAGAACTTTTCTTGCTTTTACCTTTTGACTTAATTGCAGATATGTACTATTATTATAAAAGAAACCTGATACTGATACAATGATTACATAACTTGTAAAAACTCAGTGCTTATATAGGAAAAAAATTACAAGCCACAAGTACATGAATGAACTAATAATTTAACAATTGATCTACTGACGTAATCATATTCATAAAGAAATGAAAAATGTGACTAAAGTATGAACACCAAATAAATGATTGAAAACCTTTGAAAGTGAACAAAAGGTGTAGTACTCAAATGATTCTTAGCACTGTAATAGAGTGATTGGAAAGTGTATTTGTGCTACTTGAAATAAGGTGCAGTTCCTATTTTCTGGTACAGATGTTGTACTTGTAAGAAAATCCATAATCAAATTGGATATCGAATAAACTATATTTTGATAGAAAACTATTCTTGAGAAACTGTATGAAGTTCTTCAAAGAAACTATACAAGAGACAGAAAGTGAAAAGATTATGATAAGAACATTGAAAAGATAAAAAGTTGAAAAGAGTTGTAAAAAGATAATATTATTCTATGTATGATGGAAATTATTATTAGCAATATGTACGAATGTGATTTCACGTCAATATGATTGGCTGGGGACCTGTATACTGTGTGTGGTGAAATAGTTCGTCCACATCAAACTATCACACACCATGTCATGTGTGAATACCATACATACTCATATTTAGATCTNTATTATTATACAAGAAACCTGATACTGATACAATGATTACATAACTTGTAAAAACTCAGTGCTTATATAGGAAAAAAATTACAAGCCACAAGTACATGAATGAACTAATAATTTAACAATTGATCTACTGACGTAATCATATTCATAAAGAAATGAAAAATGTGACTAAAGTATGAACACCAAATAAATGATTGAAAACCTTTGAAAGTGAACAAAAGGTGTAGTACTCAAATGATTCTTAGCACTGTAATAGAGTGATTGGAAAGTGTATTTGTGCTACTTGAAATAAGGTGCAGTTCCTATTTTCTGGTACAGATGTTGTACTTGTAAGAAAATCCATAATCAAATTGGATATCGAATAAACTATATTTTGATAGAAAACTATTCTTGAGAAACTGTATGAAGTTCTTCAAAGAAACTATACAAGAGACAGAAAGTGAAAAGATTATGATAAGAACATTGAAAAGATAAAAAGTTGAAAAGAGTTGTAAAAAGATAATATTATTCTATGTATGATGGAAATTATTATTAGCAATATGTACGAATGTGATTTCACGTCAATATGATTGGCTGGGGACCTGTATACTGTGTGTGGTGAAATAGTTCGTCCACATCAAACTATCACACACCATGTCATGTGTGAATACCATACATACTCATATTTAGATCTAAAGCATATGAAACATCACTAATATAACAATACACATGTAAAGAATCCAAAGTCACTTAATTCAAATAAAGCAAAAATCAGAAAAACACAAAAACATGCAATTTAGGAGCAGGGAGCGCTCAACGCACGTCCTAGTATTTATGCAAACATGCTTGCCTAGCGAATCCCTCCTCTCGTCCAGCAAATTATGGAAGAAAGGTTCGAGACCTGCACAGAAGAAATGACGCTTAGCACCTAAAAGTGTCGCTCAGCACCACATAACACAAGAGCTCTCAGCTCAACGTCCAAAATGATCGTTCAGTGCCCTAAAGCCCAAAGGCTTTCTGACTTTGTAGCACTCAGTGCCACATAGGGTCACTCAGCGCCGTACCAAAGCTAACCAAGTCTTAAATGACACACAAACTTCTAAGATCAAGTTCACTCAATAAACAATCCCCTCAGAATTTCACCTGCAACATTCTAACCTATTACTAAACATAATTCAGCAACAATATAAACTAGTGATAACCTCAATTTCATCAATTCACACATCTGAATTTCAACACCAAATACACAAATTCAGCGACTCAATCCATTTAATCCAACTCAAGCATACCAGCTCAGATTATCACAGTGTTTAAAATTTAAAACAAGGTATTTAACTTCTTTTACCATTACCAAAATACTTTACGAAGCCTAAATCAATTCCAAACACACTCTACCTGCTCCTACTAACAACAAAAACACGATTATGGTACACCGTCAGAATCACTTATCAGCAACGAATCAAACTGATGACTCAAAACACACATGCAAACTGAGTGAGACACACATGCAACATATATAAAAAAAACACTAAAAAAAGGGGTTAAAACTCAACTACTCAAATTGAAGAGTGTAACACATGATGAAAGGGCAGAAGGGTCCAATGTTAATACAGCTCATCAAGGAGTGAGAAAGAGTTCTAGAAACAAAATAACAAACTCCAGGCTGGAGGATTTCTATTGGTGAAAAACATAGTCGTATATTGGGGGTCGAAAGGGAAAAAGGGAGGGGGTTGTTGGAAATTCTGTTTTGCCTTTTCTCTGATGTACCGCATCTCTCTCTCTCTGGACATTGCCTATGGCCGCTATAGGATGATTCCTAAACTTTTCCGTTCTAGAATAAAATTTATTCCAATATTCATTCCTTTTACTCTTTTACTGGTGCAAAAATTATCTGAGTACTTTACTACTATATCAGTACTGTGAATTTTATGTACTGTTCCATTGGTGATTTTGGGTACTGTTACAATTGATGCTTTCATTACCAATGGCGGAGAATACTCGCCTAAAAGACCTCATGGCTGATGTCAAACGCATCCTCGACGTACTGGAGATCAGAGACCGTGAAAACGCCACAAGATTTGAAACCTTAGAGTCAGCTGTTGATGCCTTGCTGCAGCAGAAAACAGCAAACCCTGCTCCACCGTTTCAGGTGCATAACGTCAAGTTGGATTTTCCACGCTTTGATGGCTCCGATGTCTTGCAATGGATATTCAAGGCAGAGCAATTCTTTTCATATTACAATACTCCTGATGATCATCGTTTAACGATTGCTGCCATACATCTGGAAAAAGATGTAGTCCCATGGTTTCAAATGATGAACCGTCAAGATACCTTCCACTCATGGGTTGCTTTTACTCGTGCGCTAGAATTGGAATTTGGTCCTTCTCCCTATGAATGTTCTAGATCCAATTTATTTAAGTTGACCCAAACAGATTCTGTGCAAGAATATTATGTCAAATTCACTGACCTGGCTAACCGTGTCCAAGGTGTCACCACTGAAGCCTTGTTAGATTGATTTAATGGAGGGTTAAAACAAGATATTCGAAGGGATGTAATTGCTCAATCCCCTTCAACATTGATTCGCTCAGTTTCCTTAGCTAAATTGTATGAAGAAAAATACATGACCAAACCCAAACCATATCAACCTTATACAGCAGCCAAAACACTAACCGCAAACACTAGCCAGCCTATACACCAAACCATTAAATCCAAAAATCTACCACCCTTGCTTCCAACTCCGATTACAGCTTCCACCACCATCCAGAATACCCATATCAAGCGAATCACCCCAGCTGAGATGCAACTGAGAAGGGAAAAAGGGCTCTGTTATACATGTGAGGAGAAATTTTCTCCTACCCATCGTTGTCCCAACAAGCAATACCTGCTTCTACAATGCCAAGACGCGGATGCTGCAGATTTACCACCCGAACCACAGGATACGGAGCAACAAGGTGAATTAAACTTGTTACAAGAACACCACCTATCTTATAATGCTTTAAAAGGAGCTTTTGGATTGGGTACAATGAAATTCCAAGGTTTAATTAATGGCATTACAGTTCAAGTTTTACTTGACAGTGGCTCGAGTGATAATTTTCTGCAGACCAGAATCGCTCATTGTTTAAAGTTGCCCATTGAGCCAATCTTCAATTTTAAAGTTCTAGTTGGCAATGGCAATACTTTGGTTGCTGAAGGATTGGTTAAAGACTTGGAAGTTCGAATTCATGGTCACTTTTTGACATTGCGAGTATATTTACTACCTATTACTGGGGCTGATTTAGTTTTGGGAGCTGCCTGGTTAGCCACTCTTGGACCTCATATTTCATATTACAACACTCTTACACTGAAATTTTATTTGGGCAATCATTTTGTCACATTGCATGGGGAGCAAAACACTTTACCGGTAAAAGCTCAGTTTCATCATCTCAAACGTGTGACTCATACACATGCCATAGTTGAGCTTTTTACATTACAATTCGAACAATTAGACGGTTTTCCAGAGCAACAACTGCAATTACACCATGTTGTCGTCCCTGAATTGGTGTTGTTATTGAATAAATATAAGGTGGTTTTTTCTGTTCCTTCGGGGATGCCTCCTAGTAGGTCAAAGAACCATTCTATTCCCTTGTCACAAGGATCGGAACCAGTGAAAGTGAAATAATGGTCCAAGAGTTGTTGAAGGAAGGACTTATTGTACCTAGCACTAGCCCTTTTTCATCGCCAATTATTCTGGTTAAGAAGAAAGATGGAACTTGACGCTTTTGTACTAATTATAGGGCATTGAATGCTATCACTGTTAAGGATAGTTATGGAGCACAATTTTTCTCTAAATTGGACTTGCCTTCGGGCTACCACCAGATTTTGGTAAAGGAAGATGATAGATTCAAAACTGCTTTTAGAACCCACCAAGGTCATTATGAATGGGTTGTAATGTCATTTGATCTCACCAATGCCCCTGCCACATTTCAGAGCTTGATGAATGACGTTTTCCAAGGCTTGTTGAGGAAATTTGTTCTTGTGTTTTTTGATGATATTCTAGTATACAACTCTTCTTGGTCTGCTCATTTACTGCATCTTGAAGTTGTTTTGCATAAACTTGAGCAACATCAACTCTTTGCCAAACTATCTAAATGC